ACTTTTCCCTTTTGCAGGCCTGTGTTATTTGACAGGGACATAGCAGGTGTTGTGGGCTGTTTTTAGAGGAAGGAAATGGGAAAACTACAGATTTCCTTCCCTAGGAAAAGTCTACGAAATTCATAGGGTCTCCATATGTCCACATGAGACCTCAGTTCCTATCAGAAATCACATTATAATGGGATAGTTTCAACTTACTAGCCATCCCTTGCTTACTAGCTTACTAGCCATCCCCTGCTTACTAGCTTACTAGCCATCCCCTGCCATGCGTTGCTGTGGCCCAGTCTGTGTATATGTGTTTTCTGTGTGTTTTTATATCTATGTGTGTATATATTTGCGTATATATGTGTGTTTGCATATGTGTATGTGTATGGGTGTGTGTGGTTTTGTGCATGCATTGTTATGATTTTTTTTATTTGTAAGTCTCTTCTGCTGTGTTTTCTGGTGTTTTTTAATGAGTGACGGTCACTCATTGGCCTGTTAGGTGTATTGTGTCCAAATTTGGTGTCAATTCATCCAGTGGTTTTTGAGTTATATTAATCCCACAAATGAACATTACATTTTATTTATATAGATTTTTTTTCTGTTTATTCCCCCTTTTAGCCTCCTTCCAAGGAAATCAGGGTAGCAATTTATGTGCTTGTATTGGACTTCATATCCTTCTACCACATTTGTGTATCAAGATCTGCCCTTGCATTCATCTTCTGCAGAAGGCTTCAATCTCCAACAAATCTGTGCCATAAGACTCATTTGCTTTTTGTGATTTCAGTAATTATGTCTTGGGCTTCAACTTCCAGATATTCTAGCCAAGACTGGCCAAATCATCTGAAAGAACAAGATTTTTTTGGAAACTCAATTAAACACTGAGGGATTCTATCAGAATTAAAGGCCTTTCTCAATTAAGTAAGGCTTGAGGCCATATGCTTTTTGACTACTAGCAACACAGCTTTATATACTTCTGTTCCGATATTTAGTGGCCCGTATTCTCACAAGAGAGGAGACACAGGCCTCACTTCCACTGGAAAATTATAAGAGTTTCACACTTGTTTGCTTTAAGTGCCTTGGTTGTTTCCTGGGATTTGTAGTTTGGTGAGACAACTTGATTTCTCTGGCAGAAGAAGCTAAATGCCCTACAAACCTACAATCCCAGAATATCATAGGAAGCAACCATGGCACTTAAAGTAGTAGTAATGCTGTAACTGAAAGGGGTTTAAATACACAAGAGGGCCCTTCCACACAGCCCTATCTCCCAGAATATCAAGGCAGAAAATCCCACAATATCTGCTTTGAACTCAGTTATCTGAGTCCACACTGCAATATATTCCAGTTCAAAGCACAAAATGTGGGATTTTATTCAGCTGTGCAGAAAGGGCCTTAGGTCCCTTCCACACAGCTGAATAAAATCCCACATTTTCTGTTTTGAACTGGAATATATGGCAGTGTGGACTCAGCTATCAAAGCAGATAATTGTGGGATTTTCTGCCTTGATATTCTGGGTGATATGGCTGTGTGGAAGGGCCCTAAAAGCACAATATCTCATCTTAGGCTGGATCTATACCGCCACATAATCCAGTATGTGATCCCAGATTATTTACTTTGAACTGGAAAATGTGAGTCTACGCTGCCATGTAATCCAGTTCAAAGTAGATAATCTTGGTTTTATATAGCAGTGTAGATGGGGGTTTTGAGGTTATGTAGAGTCAGGCCTGGTTAGTAATTGAAGGGAAGATTACCGGTGAATACCAGGGGACTGCAGGCTATATTCCAGAAGAAGCAATTTGCAAACTGGGTCCCCTTCTACACTACCATATAAAATGCAGATTATCTGCTTTGAACTGGATTATATGGCAATGTACACTCATATAATCCAGTTCAAAGAAGATAATATGGATTATATGGCTGCGTAGATGGGGCCTGAGTATTCTTTACTCAAGAAAACCCTATGACATCCATAGGGGTCGCCATAAATCCAGAGGCGTCAGGAAGACACAATGCACACAGTTGTAGACCATAAGAGAGACAATAGGATTGTGGCTTTGCCTTCATAGAATCATAAAGTTAGAAGAGATCCCAAGGGGCATCCATCCCAACCCCATATAGAAAGACACAATCAAAGCCTTCTCAATAGATGGCCATCGCTTCCTTTCCGTGGTGTGCATGTATAACCTCCTTAGAAATTGATTTATTTCCTACATTTGTACCCCGCCCTTCTCACCCCCGAGGGGGGGACGGACACAGGGCGGCCTAATGGGAATAGTAATTAGATTACTATTACTATTATTCTTGCCTAGCTTTGTGCTGACTGGGGGGTGATGGGAACTGCAACCCAACAACCCATCCCTGCTCTATAGAGAACCTGGGCGCTCTTTCCTCTATTGCGGCCATTTCCCTTTCTCCCACTAGTCAATCAGGAGTCCCCACGACCTTGGAAAAAAAGTTTTCCCCGCCAGAAAACAAACGCAGCCCACGTTGAGCAGGAAACCATCGGATTGGTGGCACTCGCCCACGCTGTTTGCAGAAAAAAGGTCCTCTATCACTCGGAAGTTCAACCTATTAAAGTCATCGGAAAAATAACTACACTAATTGCGGCCAAAGGAACTACGACTTCGAGGCAAAACCGGGGGTGCATCTATACTGCAGAACGAATGCAGTTTGACAACACTTTAACGTGGCTCAATGTTCTGGGATCCTAAGTCTTGTAGTATTACAAGGTCTTCAATACTGCCAAAGAGTGTTGGTGTCTCACAAAACTACAACTGCCAGGATTCCACAGTCCTGAGCCATGGCAGTTAAAGTGGTGTCAAACCGCATTGATTCTACAGTGTAGATGCACCCACGTCTCTCCTTACAACTTAAGCAAATTAGCGTCGTAAATAAGCAGCCAGCCTCGCTCAGCGCTCTATATATATTCCATGAAACTCCCACGGAGACGGAGAAGGTTTTTAGTTATTATATTACCGCCTACCATTGTTAATTAGCTTTTCCTTTGGGCTTCCCCAGCTCTTTTCACTGCCTACTCCAACCTGAAATTCCTTCTCTATAGTAATACATAACAAGTCCCTCTATTTTGCTTCTGAACTCTGGGACCTGCTAAAAAGTGGAGAAAATAGAACATGCCCCCGGTCTTTAGTTCCAAAGGGTTGTTAAAGCTTTCCAATCCTGTCTGGAGTCCCAAAGGCTCTTGGCGTTGGAAATCAAGAAAGAATGTGGGTGCATCTACACTGTAGAAGGAGTGCCGTTTGACACCACTTTAACTCAGTGCCATGTAATCCTGGGAGTTGTAGTTTGATGAGTCACCAGCACTTTTTGGACAAGGCTACACCTTAGTTACAACTTCCATGACTCTATAAAAGTCACGGGCAAACTTGGGCCCTCCGGGTGTTTTGGACTTCAACTCCCACAATTCCTAACATCCTCCGGACCTTTCCTTTTCCTCCTCAGCCGCTTAAGAATTGTGGAAGTCCAAAATACCTGGAGGGCCAAAGTTGTCCCATGGCTGCTCTGTAGCATTGAGCCAAGGCACATCCTTGATTGCTTGCTACTGGCGGAAGCTAAACAGGTGCTGCTTCCTCTCTTCACCTGTTGAATTTCTGAATGAGCAAATTGCACGGGAATTTTATCAGTCACAACAGCCAAAAATGCCAGCCCTGACCCGAGAGCCACTGTATTCTCTCCTTGGTGTCGGGAAGAGGTGCTCTGATGGAGTTATAAAGTTGCAAGCGATCCCACAGGGCCATCTAGTCCAACCCCATTGTGCTAGGAATAAACAGCCAAAGCATCCTTGACAGATGGCCATTCAGCCTCTGTTTAAAAACCTACACCACAAATGCGTATTCCTCTATCAAACAATTCTTACCCCCAGGAAGTTCTTCCTGTTTTTATTTACTTTTTTTTAGTTGCCTTTCCTCTCTTTTGCCAGCAACCAAAAGAGAGTGTTGCATGGCGGTGAAGTGGGGCCACTCAAATTCAGCAGCAAGACAATCAAAGTATTGGATGGAATTCAGCATAGAATCAGAGTTGGAAGGGATCCCAAAGACCATTCAGTCCTAAGCCCTCCCGATAGACCAGGCATGGGCAAACTTCGGCCCCCCAGGTGTTTTGGACTTCAACTTCCACAATTCCTAACAGCCTATCGGCTGTTAGGAATTGTGGGAGTTGAAGTCCAAAACACCTGGAGGACCGAAGTTTGCCTATGCCTGTAATGGACCATCTCTGTTCAAAAACCTCCAGAGGAAAAGGCTCCATCATACAGAGCATTCAGTTATCAAATGGCTCAAGAAGTTCCTCCTGATCTTATTTGTATGTGAACCTTCCTCTCTTTTAGCAATATCTAAGTAACCACAATAGCGTTCAGTGGAGAAGTACGACTTTCAAATTCAAAGGTTTCAGCTGACGTCGTTGGCTGGGATTCAGAGTTGGAAGGGACCTCAAAGGCCATCCAGTCCCACCCAGACAGGAACACACAATGAAAGCCCTTCGGGGTGCTTCTCAACCTGTAGGTCCCCAGGTGTTTTGGCCTACAACTCCCAGTAACGCCAGCCAGTTTACCAGCTGTTAAGATTTCTGGGTGCTGAAGACCAAAGCATCTAGGGACCCACAGGTTGAGAACCACTGAGATAGAGAACTATGCATCCTCAAACTGCAGCCCTCCAGCTGTTTGAGCCTCCAACTCCCAGAAGCCCTAACGAGCTTGTTCAATTGTCAGGAATTCTGGGAGTTGAAGGCCCAAACAGCTGTAGGGCCACAGTTCGAGGATGCCTGGTTTAGGACATATAAAAATTGGCTGGAATTCAGCACGGAATTGAAGGGATCCCAACCACCCATTTCCCAGGCAGGAATGCTCAAAAACCCTCCCATGGAACCGTTGTTTAACCCAGTGATGCCCAAACTCTGGCCCTCCAGGTGTTTTGGACTTCAATAGGGTCTTCAGAGCACAAGATCCAGTGGCGCCCCCGCCTGCCATCCCCCCCCCTTCTTCCCTGGTCCCTTTCCTTTCCCACCTGGTTGTTTTTGCAGAGGTCTGCCCACATGCTGGTCCCGTCGCCGCCACGCATGAGCACGTGGTAGGTGAAGAAGTAGATGCCCGGGATGGAGCAGGTGAACTTGCCCGTGGTGGGGTCGTAGTGGTTGCCCAGGTTGGTGACCACGTCGTCGAACTTGAGCACCTCGTAGCCCTCGTGCTGCCGCTTGAGCCCCGCGTAGAAGGCGATCTTGGGCACGGTGCTGTAGGTGGCGGCGCTGATGGCCCCCGCCGCGTTCAGCCCCGGGGCCCCCGGGGGGCCTGGCAAGCCTTGCCGCCCGGGCTCGCCCTTGTCACCCGGCGGACCCGCGGGACCAGGAGGGCCGGGCTCCCCCGGGGGGCCCCTGGGCCCGGCCTTGCCCGGTCGCCCGGCCTCGCCTTTGGGTCCCTGGATGAAGGTGGGCAGCGACTGCATGAGCCCGCGGTCCGGCGTGGCGGCGGTGCTGGGCGCCTTGGTGCCGCCGTAGGGGTCGCAGACCATGCGGCAGGTGCCCAGCATCTCGTAGTGGGCCGAGGTGCCGGCCGAGCTGACCAGCACCGGGATCAGGATGACCAGCAGCAGCACCATCACCACCCCGAGGGCGCCGGCCGCCATCAGCCGGCGCCTGCTGCCCACCAAGCGGCTCAGGGCAGGGCGATCCTCTTGCCTGCTTTTGGACAAAATCTTGATGGCTGGCGGGGGACCTCCTCGAGCCGAAATCGCCGCGGGGCAGCAGCCTCCCCGCGTCCCTGGGGCTTGGGGCGACCTCTTCTCGCCCTCGCAGGCGGACGATGCCCCCCGGCTTCGCCAGATCCTCGGCCGCCTCTCCTCCTTCTCCTTCTCCTCCTCCTTCTCCGTTGTCCGTCTAGCCGGCCACCTGTGGCTCCCTCGGTGGCTGGAGCTGCTCGCCCGGAGAGGAGCCGCTCGCACTTTTATGCTGCTGCTGGCGATCGACTTTTCCCTCCCGCCCGTGCCAGCTCGAATCAACTTCCCGGCTGCTGCTGCTTCTTCTTCTGGACGCTGCTTTCCCGCAGTTTCCCCCCTCCCTTCTTTCTCTTCTTCTTGCCTTTCCTTCTGGACGCCGCTTTCCCCCCTCCTTCCTCGACTCCCCTCTTCTTCTTCTTCTTCTTCTTCTTCCTCTTCTTCTTCCTCTTCTTTTTTCCTCTTTCTTCCCCCACCCCTCACTCACTCACTCACTCACTCACTCTTTCTTCACCAACTCCGCCAGAGGGGGAAAGTCCTGCTCGTTTCACAGGTGGAACGTGAAGGAACGAAGAGAGGAAGGAAGGAGTGCTCTTCAACCAGAGCTGCCTGCCTCGCTTAAGCCGCGATTACCGCCCAGCCTGGAGCTTTTCTATCTCTCTCTCTCTCGATCTCTCTCTCTCTCTTCTCTGGCACACACACAGCCACTTGCCACAGCGAGGAGAGGCTGGCCAAGGCGCCGGCGGGCTCCTTTATAGGCACCCGAAAAGCGCAGGGGGAAAAGGGGAGCAGCCTTGGCATCGCATCCCAGCATCTGCTCCGCTCGTCCCACTCACCCGGAGTTTGGCATCTCGCTGACAAGTGTGGGGAAATGTTTTCCTCCCCTCTCGTTGCTTCTCCCCCCTGTTTCTCTCCCTCTCCTTTTCTATTTCTTCCCCCCCCCTCTCCCCCCTCTCATAAAGCGGCGAAATCGTGAACATTTCCCTGGCTGAGCCCTCAGTGATGACAAGCTTTTCTTTCTGAAGAAGATCAAGGGAGGGGGTAGAGAGAGAGAAAGAAAGAGAGAGAGAGAGAGAGAGAGAGAGAGAGAGATCTACTTAGCACCTTTGGAATAACCTTCAGATCACTGATCCAGGCTGTAAAGGTCAATCCCTTGTTTAATGGTTCCCCCAGCGGCCTCCCTCTTGTCATGTGAAATATCCCTTGTCATGCAAGGGTAACAGTCCCATGTTTCTCAGGCATGGGACGCAATCTAGCACAGCAGCCAAGAATGCCCTGTTAGACCACTGACTAATACCAGGTGCTGTAGGTTGCATTTTAGAGGAAGACACTGGCAAAACCATCTCTGGGCCCTTTCACACAGCCCTATATCCCAGAATATCAAGGCAGAACATCCCACAATATCTGCTTTGAACTGGATTATCTGAACCTACACTCAGATAATGTGGGATTTTCTGCCTTGATATTCTGGAGTACAGGGCTGTGTAGAGGTGGCCCTAAGTAATTTTCAATGGTAAACAAACAGTATTTTGGTGCCCCCTCCCCCCAAATCAATCACTGATATATATTTTCTGTTTGTCCTGGGAATTCTGTGTGCCATATTTGATTCAATTCCATCACTGGTGGATTTCAGAATGCTCTTTGATTTTAGGTGAACTATACATCCCAGTAACTACAACTCGCATATGTCAAGGTCTATTTTCCCCCAAGAGCGCCTCAAAAGCGCCCCTGGGCAAAATCAACTATACTGCGAATGCTTACTTGCTTACTTTGCGTAATGGTTGAGCCGCCTCTGGGAAGGGCCCTCAGAGTCTCCCTTTCCCAAGAAAACCCCATGGCATTCATGGGATCACCATAGATGGAGAAGTGACTTGGGGCCCTTCCACACAACCCTATATCCCAAAATATCAAGGCAGAAAATCCCACAATATCTGAGTGTGGACTCAGATAACCCAGTTTAATGCAGACATTGTGGGATTTTCACCCTTGATATTCTGGGATATAGGACTGTGTGGAAGGGCCCTGGAAGGCACACACAGACAGCACATTTCATCTATTTTGCAACCCACAATCTAAAGCATATGGAAAGTCCTAACCCTTCTGCCCTTTTCTTTTTTTCTTTTCCTAGAAAACCCATACAGAAAATAGTAGAGCTTCTCTCGGTTTAAGAGCCAGGTGCTGAATATGCAGGTATCAGTAAAAGACCTCTTTGCTCCTTTCCAAAAGTGCCTTTTGAAAACATTTAAAAGTAGTTCTAGCTAAGAGTTAGTCAAAGAATTTTCATGTACACACATGTGCCACAAGATGATATGCATTAAAGACAAGGAATACCTTTATGTGCCAAATCTAAACGTATTGCTCTCAAGCAGCAATCATGGCTGTTTGACTTCTTTTTCCTTAAATAACACTTTCCCCACCCATCCTCATCTCCACCTAGGAATGAATGTCATTCTCTGGTAAAGGTGAGCAAGCGCCCTGAGTTCTGTAAAACAAATAGTGTATTCCTGAAATGGATATTACGCAAGCATATCTTCTTACAAATGCTACAACAGAGAGCACAACTGCATTAAACAAATAGGCTGAATTGATTGCTAGATCATACTTCTGTATTCAGAAGCAATTGGACGTCAATCAAAAGCGGGTGACATTTGCCTGTCAATACAGGGATGATGGCTGAAAAAGCCTGTGACTTATTAGAAAGCAAGGCAGGAATCTGAAATGAGCAAAAGCCGCAAATAGGAAAACAACCAAATAACACCATCCCCAGTGAGAACGTTGATCAGAAAGGTGCGATCTTGTCTGAGGTTTGCCTAGCATGAATCCCTTCTTTATAGCTTCCCTCTCTGGGCTCCCCTTTCTTTCTTTTCTCTTCCACAGCACAATAAGGTCAAAGAGACAGACAGCAGGGTAACAAAGATCCATTGATTCATCTTTTTAAGCAGAAATGTCAGTGGCTCTTTGCGTTCTTCCCTAAGAGAATCGGAAGCCATAGAATGTGTGGCCCTGCCATGGCTAACCCAGCTCCTTATCGCCATCAGTAAGCTGATAAAAATGTCTTTGCTTCTTGCACTGGTAAATATTCCCACCACCACCTCCCTCTTCTGATTTTTGTCAGAGTTCAACCTTTAATAAAGTCGTATCTTGTGAAGAGACAATCCAGCTGCTCAATCCCTTTGCTTTGGCCTCCTCTGCCAAAGACTTTTGGGGGGAGACACACTCTTGTTTATGCTTCATGAATTCCTCCCAAAGGAAAGCATTTTCAAATACGATTTTATGCCTTGGGAGGTGGGGTAGAGATTGGTAAATCTTGTCAGACTTGTAGTTACCTTTCTTCAATCTTTACACAAATTCCAACTTTTTCAGATCATCATAGTTGACAGTAAACCTTCACTTAACTTTTATGTACTATACTTGGACTCACGCTGCATATGTGGATCCTGATCTAGCCAACAAGACACTACTCATGGACCTTGAAATAGGGGAAGTGACAGATTAAGGCCCCCTCCCCCAAAACTAACCAAAACAGGACCATCAAAACTTTTACAGAGTTAACCCCTTGAAGAAGTTATGAACCAGAAATATACTAAATAATTGAGCACGAAGGAATATTAAGACTACTACTGTATCTGAGTTTCCCTGGAACAATAATGGTTGCTTGCAAAGGGTGCTTGACACTACCTATAAAGAAGAGTAGGTTTTGAAGAACAGAATCTCAGTCTGCAGAAGTACAAAAACTTAATCACAAGGGAAAAGCTGGCCCCTAGCACATCAGTCCAACTAATTTTGGAAGGGAATGAAATGATCTATCCTGGAAAAGAGGAACACTTCTCAGTGCAACATTTTGTGGTAAGCTGAGTTATGCTGTTGTACATTATGTATTGGGCACCATACATTGGAGCCCCCAGTGGTGCAGTGGGTTAAACTCCTGTGCCAGCAGGACTGAAGACCGACAGGTCGCAGGTTCGAATCCGGGGAGAGGCGGATGAGCTCCCTCTATCAACTCCAGCTCTTCATGCGGGGACATGAGAGAAGCCTCCCACAATGATGATAAAAACATCAAATCATCTGGGCGTCCCCTGGGCAATGTCCTTGCAGATGGCCAATTCTCTCACACCAGAAGCGACTTGCAGTTTCTCAAGTCACTCCTGACACGACAACCCCCCCCCCCCAATACATTGTACAATGGCAGTCATTGTGCTGTAGTGTTGTCCAATGTTGCTCTTCTGCATGGGGCTGCATAGTACTGGTGTAGAGTATCTTCTATATATAAATATTTATGCTATGATAAGCACATATTAAATTGCAACCACAACAGTCTGTATTTTCAATAGAACAATTCAAGTTAAACAACTTTCAGTTATCACCTCAAGTTAATTATACTATAAGCATTTGGTTGAGTTCATTATTGTTATTGTGTGCCTTCAAATCATTTCTGGATTATAATAACCCTAAGTCACACAGTATTCTTGGCAAGGTTTGTTTGGCTCTCTTAGGTTGAAAGCATGTGGTTTGCCCTGGTTCACCAAGTGGGCTTTCATTCAGTCACTAGTGACTTCATCTCACAGACAAATTCACCCATTGTACGATGCTTTCAGCACAGTTCAGGGGCGGAGCTTGCTGGTTGTCATCAAACGATGTACAGCTCCTTCTGGAGGGGCTCAGTCCCTGAACTGTGCTGAGAGCGTCATATGAGGGAGCAATGAGGTGAGCGGGGGGGGGGGGGGGGGGACATGGGACGGGACCAGGCAGTGACGTTTCCCCCTGTGTGATGGGGAAGGTGGTGCTGTGGGCGATGCAGTGTGTGGACCACAGATTCCCACGCTGCCACACGGATTCGCCGCAATGCCTGGCAAATCCCCCCATCACCCATGTTGGCTGACTTAATGGGATGAGGTCCAAAGAAATGTATTGCATTTTTTACCCATTCAGGACATCACTGTTGTGATTTCCCTTTTAAAGGCATTTTCAGTTTTCAGTTTTGGACATGCTAACAATGGCATTAAGAAGAACTCAGCATACATTTTAACAGTTTCTCTGTGTGCTAAATTAGAGCGGTCAAGAGGAAATTCCCACAAACTATTGCTTTAAGGTAAGAATAGGACATGCACATTAGGTCAGAAGACCATTTTAATGTTCTAAGATGGCTGCTGACTCCCTGGGCCCACAATTTTTCTAGGCCTAAAATAGGCCTCACTGGAAGTAGATTCACAACACTGGCCATGCCTAGAATTGATTGAAGTGCAATCACCAAAACAACAGTTCCTCAACAGGTTTTTGCTGTTTGGGGAGAACACCTTAAATAACGTACGAGGGGCATTCATTAAAGATTTCCCCTGACCCACTTCCTGTGGTCTGAGAGCAATGAAACTTGGCTTAGTTATTAGGCCTTCTCTACATAGGTGCCACCTAGGGACACACACTTCTCCCATCTTTTTAAGCAACTGTAACATCTTGCTTGTAGAAAAATGCTTGCCCTTCAAAAATAACTTCATTGTTGGAAAGAGGAAGTCCGATGGTGCGAGGTCAGGTGAATATGGGGGGATGTGGTAGAATTTCAAAGCCACAGGAGCTTGCTTCCATTTGGGCAACATGTGAGTTGTGAACTGGCGCATTGTCTTGCAGAAGGCGGACACCTTTGGTGAGCATGCCACATCTCTTGGTTTTGATGGCCTCCCGCAATTTCCGCAGTAGTGTAATATGCCCAAGTGATCATGGTACCCTTTTCTAGGAAATCAATCAACACTACTCCGTGCTGGTCCCAAAATACTGTGAGCATGACCTTGCCTGCTTTTTTTTTTTGTCATGTTAGGAGCGACCTGAGAAACTGCAAGTCGCTTCTGGTGTGAGAGAATTGGCCACCTGCAAGTACATTGCCCAGGGGACACCCGGATGATTTTGATGTTTTATCATCCTTGTGGGAGGCTTCTCTCATGTCCCCGAATGAGGAGCTGGAGCTGATAGAGGGAGCTCATCCGCCTCTCCCCAAATTCGAACCTGCGACCTGTCGGTCTTCAGTCCTGCCGGCACAGGGGTTTA